ACCACTTCACCAGGGTAGACCATCCTGAGTCTGCTCACCCCACAGACTTTCTAGGATGGGGACTGAAATGTTTTTTTTGGGTTAGATTAATTTTTTCCTACCATTTGGCAGTATGTCTTTGAATCATCATCCTACATAATAACCCAGATGATACATTTTAAGTTTTCTGTCAGCAGCCCCAGATTTTCATTAAAAAGTCTTTTTATAAAAAGAAAAACAAAAATGGGCCCACAGCATTACAGGTCCTCCACTGTACCAAAGGGTTCATGTGAGGTATTTCTTTAGGTATTCTTCTTTTGCTTTATGGTAGACCAACATGGAGTTTTTGGTGCTGAAAAGCACAATAATAATCTCATTTTAAATAAAGCACTCAGAGCCAATGGGGCTTACATGCCTAAGAAAGGTATTAGAACTATTTGGTGCCTTGCATATTACAAATCTTATATACAAATACATATATGTCCATTTTTCAAAGTTTTGGGTACAGCTAACCCTTGAAAATTCCAGTTTGTATCTTACAAAGTCCAACATGTTATTACTCTTTATTTACCGCTCTGTTAGGTTTACCAGACGTCTATATTTTCCTTGATGTTCTCATAATGAATTGGAGAAAAGGGAATCACAAGAAAACACACAAGATTGCTGTATTTGGGGAAAAAAAACAAACAAACAAAAAAAACAACATAATCTACTGTTTTAAATTTTCCTTAATGAACGCCTTGAATTCATTTCATTTAAAACAAAAACGTGTGGCTTCATAAGAGTGGTACACAGGAGCCAGTGGGTAAACAAACAGGGTTCCACCATTCCCAAGGTTAGATTCTGGAGATCCATTGTCTTTAATAAAGCCAGTATATGCTGTCTTTGTGTGTGCAGAGACAGAAGGGATAGTGGGAGAGACAGGCTGCAGCGAAAAGACTGGCGTTGGCTTATTGAAATGCTCCTGGAAAGTAAACTAATTTTCTCAGCGGGTCAGAGGACTGGTTATGGTAATAAAAAGAGAGATGTCATTAGATTCAGAGGTATTTGAAGTGCTCTCTGGTGTGGGTGGAGATAGAGGGCCGAGGGAGAGCGAGAGCGGGGGGGGGGCTGCCCCCCGCAGCAGAGTGTGAAAGAAAGAAAGAAAAGCAAGGTGTGTGTGTTTTTCCGTGTGCTTCCCTGCCACTATCTCTGTCTCCTCTGAGGGTAGTTATTCATAAGCTTGACCTACATGCGCCCATGCTCATGTGTGTGCATTCGCGAGTGTGCTTGTCAACTCATGCAGGAGTAAGTGTCGAGGTTCTGGCCCGTTCTCCAAGATTCACGAACCACTTTCACGGTCTGAACCAAACCACTCGGTCTGATACGTCTTCCTGCAGCAGATGGAGATCTTGAAATCACAGCCTCAACCACAGTTATGCTTTTATACTGGAACTGTGGTTGATTCTGTGGCTTCGTACGCTCACTTAAGCATACCTGATTCTCTGTCTCCTGCTCTCAGAAATGTAAAATAAACAAAATAGAAAACCTGAAAACAGCCAATACAAAAGCATACATTGTACAAACAAGTCTAAATAACTAAATGTGGCTTCACCAGATTGCTTATTCTTTTCCCTGTGAGCAGAGCTTCCCCCCTCTTCCCCCCTCCTGTCCAAAGCGATGGTTTATAACCAAGTGAAATGCAAACGGTCTCCTAAGCAACAGCGAGCGAGTGAGCCCGAAGAAAGCTGAGGGTAGCAGCATTAGATCTTTAGCCTCTCCTGTCCCTTTGATGTCCCTCAGCCTGAGACGTTACAGACAGGCCTGGCTGGTAAACATGAACATGAGCAGGCAGTGTGAAGTCTACTGACGTTCGCAGACAAGGTTATGAGTAATGAGGCAACATTTGCATGACAGAGCTGCCATAATGCGATTCTGAGTTTGTTTTGTTATAGTTTGGAGCAAAAGTATGCAATTAAAACTCACCGAGGTCCAGTCACTAACATTTACTCCTGGTAAAAGATTTAAAAAAAAAAAAAAGTAAAACTTTCATCTTTTATGATCTTGCCTACTATTCTGTTCACATGTTCATTAATTGCATTTCCATTGACCATCTAATTGTGCATTTATATGGCAAATTGGAATTACAAAAATACATTTACTTAATGGAAACTCGCCAATTTCGAAAAAAATCATGGTTTTCGATAAAACGTTTTTGTGCTGGGATGAGGTGGTTCGTCGACTGTATAGAAATTAGTGTATTTTCTAGATGCAAAACGAGTCATGTGATCAAAAACTGGATGTTACTACTGGTGGAAAAGATGAAGATGATCACAGGAAGTGGTAAGATGATGACAGCACAGCATGTTTTTAAATGACTTATTGTGTGAACAAACTTATTCATATATGATTTTAATTGTGCTTCTGATTTAATGGAAACACTGCAAATGCGAAATTGTGTTTTTTCAACATTAGAGGAATGTCAACAGTTTTGTGCGCAATTGTAATGGAAGCACAGCTAGTGTTAGCAGTCTGCATTTTATAGTAGACAACTAGCTATTTTACAGTGTCTCAGGCAAATAGGCAAAGTTTCAGGCAAAGTCTCAGATTTGGACCGAGTCGCTGGTTTAGAGCATAAAAAGCTCAGATAATTAAGTCATTTCCTCCATCCTCAGCAGCTGTTTTGCTCCTTCTTTATTTCTGTACTGGATAATAGACCTAGTGTAAAAGTGACTGACGAAACAGAAAAAAGGTTTTAAATAATTTTAATTAGGATTGTAAATGAGTCAGTTTTTCACCTGGTGGGCATTTCTCAAAATTTTATGAAAGTATTTAAAACTCTTGAAACAATTCACAGTTGGAAGGCTTGAAGGAGAGAATAACTAACCTGCTGTGACATCTCTAACCCATTTTTTGTAAAGCCAGCACATAGAAGATCACTTTTTTCTGTTTCTTTCTTTCCCTGCACTATATTATTTCCAGCCTTCAGCAGACAGTATTTTTTCTGTGCAGTTTATAAATTCAAAATTCGAATTATTTGCTTTTTCAGAATTCAAAACCATTTGGACTTAATTTAAATAAAATTATTTAAAATCATTTATTTAATACATAGATTATGAATAAACTTTATTATATTTATTCATAAAAATTAGACAGACTAAATATTTGTCTTCCCAAATTATTAATACAAAATGCATGCAAAATGCATTTAGTAATTTCTCATGCAAATGTATGCAAACAGCATCAGACAAGACATTAATTTGCTTTGTATAACTATTTTAGGACTATACAAGGACATGTTAACTCCACTTTGCTCACTTTTAGCACTCTCAGATATCTTTGTGGATTTCCCAAAGGTACAAATACCCTTTGAATACTCAAACTGTGCCACAAACAGTTAAAATATAAGGCAATTACGGCGAAATTACAGTCATCAGGGCTTTATTTTCCTCTTTAGTGAATAGTGCACAATGGCTTTTTTTAGTTTCCCATAGTCCATTATAACATCTTCAAATTGCTTCCATTTCCTTCACTGATATTCCCATAACTTGTTGGGATAATTAAGCTGAATGAATGGGCTTAAATGTGGATCAGCTATGGATCATAAAATGGGGGTTGCTAGGCAATTTTCTCAGACCAGACAATGGCTGAGGTGTAAGGAAAGCAGAATACTTTGATTGCAAATTTGCACCAACAGATTATATCACTGTAGTCACAATATGGATGTATTAGTACAAAGAATGACCTTTCAATAAAAGGAATGGCAGTTATTTTGTGATATTAACAACACAATCACCGGTAAAAGTTTGGTCTGGTTCACATGTTTTGCCGATTTGGAGAAGGTCGTCATCCCTTGTTTTTAGTGGGGTGTGCCGTGACACTGTGGGGTGCTTGAGTTGCTACGGAGATGGATACAGTCTTTAGATCAAAATCATCAATATAAATCATGTGTGTTGGTTAATGTTCCACTTATTATGGTTCAAAAGGAACTCTAAACAAATGGTCTTATAGTCTAGACCAGAGGTTCTCAAACTGTGGGGCGCGCCCCCTAGTGGGGGGCGCCATGCGTTGCAAGTGGGGAGGAGCGGGAAGCCGTCTGGATGAAAAAAAAAACATGAACGCTGTATGCGCTGGGTTTTTACCTTAGAATGGCCAACTCTCTGTTATTCCTCTGTCAATTTGATACAGTCGGGGCTTCCGCACTTCCCATATCGGTGTCCTCTGTCACTTTAACAGTTAAAACTGTTTAATCCGTTGTTAACATGTCGTAACCTGTTTTTCCGAGCCGCCTTTAAACGCAACATGAGCGCTACGCAGGGTTTATACCTGTGCAGCAGTGAAGGAGGCCTGCTGCTGCTGTCCAGAGCTACGCAGGTTTGTGTTAGAATCATGGCAGCAAACCAGCAAAACGCAAAAAAACTTTTCACAGTTTTTCCCCCAGACTAACCGACTGAGTTGAGTAAAATTGTTGGATGCAGGTAATGTTAGCTAAAAGATGACTAGCTAATATCAATACAGCACCTTAAGCTTAACAAGTAGCCTGTAGGCTACCGATATTGTTGTATATGTCCTGCTACGATTCATTTTGCCCCCCAAAAAGTTGATTCCCCCCTGGAAGGTTGATAGAATAACAGCAGATCTTTGATGTATTGCGGTTCTAAGCCATTCAGTTATTTATAAACTAACAACATTATTTTAAAGTTTATTCTCTGTGATACACAGAGCTAGTGTAAGGACTTTAGAACTGGGCCTCTGTCTTCCTGGTTTTAGTGAGGACACCACCAGCAGCGATAGATGTTTTAGGCAGACCTGTGAAGACACTGTTACAGTAACCAATGCGACTAAAGATAAACAGGAATGAGTTTGTCTAGCTCTCGCTTCTCTTAATCCTGTAAATGTTCTTCAGTTGGTAGAAGGCCGACTTTGTAACTGTCTCTATGTAGCTCTGATGGTTGGGGTCAGAGTCCATCACCACACCCAGATTTTGAGCCTGATCACCATTTTACTTTTAACCCTTCCATGTCCTTGCCTCCTCACTTTAGGGGGCCCTGACGTGGTGGAGTCCGTTCCAGATGACCCCACTTACAACGTCAGCAGCGAGCTCACCCTGGAAGTGACCGCTAACGACGATAACGGCAAAATCTCCTGCGTCGTCGACCACGACTCTGTGAAACATGGGGAGAAGAGGAGCGAGCAGTCTCTGCGGGTGTTGTGTAAGTCAACTGGGAGACTGGGAGGTTTGCTGGGAGAATGAATGGTGAGAAGATACAACAGGTGCTGGGTGAAGAAACGGGAGAAATGTAAGCTAGTGTCTTTGACAAATTTGCTTCTTTATATTCTTTCTTAAGCTTTTTTTGAAAAGCATGAGAAACATCCACCTCCTTTGTAGTTTGATCTAAAATGTACCAGTCTGTTATAACAAGAAGAAGACAGGAATCTTACTTTTCTCGCCTGCTGCACTCAGCTAGAGTTGAGCCACAGTGGGTAAGAAGAACACTTTATCAGCTAAAATGAAATCACTAACTGAAGACTCTGTATGAATACTGCCCCCCTGTGGGTAAGGTGGTGGTACTGCAGCTCAGATGTAAAGCAATGCTATTGTGTAAGGGGGTTATGTCATAGTAAGATGATGCATGTAGAACACAGAATATAGTAGATGGAGACAGGAATGAATGGGACTGTCTGTGGTGTGTGTACAGCTCTTACTCCTGTGTTATATAACCGCACCGTGTCGGTGTGTGTGTGTGTCTGTGTGTGTGTGTGTGTTCGTCTTCTTCTTATAGATGCCCCTGAAGTAGCGATCACTCCTGAGGAGAGGATGGCGATAGAGGGGCAGAGGTTTTCTCTGCAGTGTTCAGGAAAAGGCAACCCTGAGTAAGAAAAGCACACACACATTCCTTTTTCATGTCAACCATTTTACAGAAATAAGCTCATGTTTCTTCAGACACACTTGCCTACAATCTGCATTTATATTTACAGCAAATTGTTGCCATGCTATCTATTTAAACACATATTTGCACTATGTTAGGTTACAACTGAAATCTCACAGTTTTTTACTGGTATTTTATTGGGCAAACACAAAGTTCTGTTATAAAATGAGAGGATTGGAATTTGTGATTGTACCCCTAAATAATATCTCCTGTGGCTTCAGAAGTTGAACCTGTGCATAAAAATCAAGCCTCAGAGGTCTGGTTGACATCATTATTAGACAAACAGTGCCATGAAGGCCAAGAGAAAAGTTTAAAGCATGGTTAAGTTATAAAAGAGTATCCAAAGCTTTAAAAATCTCATGAAGAACTTTTCAATCATCTGAAAGTGAAAATAGTATGACACAGTTGTAAAGCTACTAAAATATGGGCGTCCACCTAAAACGCACAGGTTAGAAAGGGAGTGCATTACAAAGACATGTAGCCAAGAGGCCCATGGTAAGTCTAACCTTTATAGAAGAGGGACAAGACAAAGGCCATAGCTGAAAGAAAGCCATAAGAAGCCCTGTTTGCAACAAGCCATGTTGGGGATACAGAATGAAAAGTGGTTTTGGGGCCTACTTTAGAAATGCCATTTGCACACATTGTATGTCCCCCCGATCACACCGTTCCTCAAGGTGAAACATTGTAATGGTTTTATCATGCTTTGGGAATGCTTTTCTTCAGCAGTGATCAGGAAGCTGGTAGGAGTCAATGGGAATGTTGATGAGCTAAGTACAGGGCAGTTGCTAAAGACTTAAGCGGTTCTCCTTTCAACAGGATAACACAAACCTAAAAAGCAGACACCTTCATTTAGATTGTGGCATATTTATGTACTAGAATCTTCTGGTGAAATTGGGATTGATAAACTTCTGCAAGACTTAAAAATTTATGTTCCCAGACGTTCTATCCGATCTTACCCTGAGGATTTTGGTATTGAAGAAAACAGCATGTGTTACTCTAGATGTGCAAATCTGGTAGAGACAAGCCTCAAAATACGGCTAGTCTATATACGTATTTTATATCAGTTTCATAGCGTTTTTAGCTTTAAATATCCAATGTACTTCCAAACTGCTGACCTTCCCGCTTTTATACACACTTTCCTTTTGAGTTGCTACGCTCATTTTTTTCCCCTTCACCTTGCTCTTTTTTATATTTAGCCAGTTATGGAGCACGGTGACTAAACTTTAAACTGCTCCCACATATTGTGTGATTTTGTGGTCTGCACAGACTCGGTCTCACAGTCTGCAGATGCCTACATTTCTAGTGACAAATTCCTTCATTTCCCACAATCCAAATGTATCGATGAGCTGGTTGAGTACTTAACCTCATTTGCTCTCCACAACGCTAGCGACCATCAGTGTTGTGCAGAAGGTAGTAGCAGTCACAACATGAAACGGCCTCTGCACATGTTACACTACAAGTTGTTACAAGCTTATCAAAGTGAGATGAGTTGGTTGATGCTACCAACCTCACATAACTGAGCCGTGACAGGTTGAGTGGCTAAAACCTTTCCTTGACTTACACGCCCCAGAATGCCATGTGGTTCTGAACTGGAGTATTTTCTATTGATATTGACCATGTTTCTGTTGTGATACATATTAATATTGTTTTATCACCCAGCCCACCCAGAACAAAACTAACAGCAGGAATCACAGAAAAATGTATTTGTGCAAAGTTTTGACCCAGGTGTCTGAATGCAAATAGATTTTCAATGTTGTAAAATTTGGAACTGTGCATCATTATCATTTCCCATGAAATACAATTAAAATATATTGAAATAGTCATGATGTGACAAAATATGAAAAATTCTTATTGTGTGTCGGCACTTTTGCAAAATTCTGTGACTTCTATGAGATTTCAGCTGAGCTGAAGCTCTCAAATCTTTGTCTAATAAAACTGTGACAATCTTGAACTTAAGGTTACACATCATTCCTTTTTCTCAGAGAAAAGCAATAGAGATCCTCTTGTAGGACTTTTGTGAGCTCAGATTTGACTTAAAGTACGTTTTTCTGAAAAAAATATGACAACTCAGTCCACAAAAAACGGCTGCTGACCCGAGGGTCAGTGTTCATTTGGGCCGCTTGGTTTAAGGTGACAGGATGGGGACACTCTGAATAGCTCTAGGTGCCAGAGGTGATACTTTCACCTCTGGTTGTACTCTCTGACATCCTTTTAAGGAAGAAATGCAGTCTTTCTCTTTGACTCTCAGCAAAATGATTCTATTAGGGCTTTATGGTGGCGCAGTTGTTTGCACTGTTTCTTTGCAGGAGCAAGGAAAGAAACAGGAAACAGGTTAAAATGCAGGATGCATTTTAATCCAGGACCGTTGTACTTGTTTGCATGTTCTCCCCATGCATGTGTGGGTTCTACCTAAGTACTACAGCTTCCCTGTGAAGTTCATAAAAATGCTTTGTAGGATAACTATCTAATGCTGCTGTTAGGCATGACTCTGTCGATGTGTGGTTATTTATCCTGTGATAGGATGTGCTTAACGTTCCTGCGCCGATAAGCTGACAAATGGAAGAATGGATAAATAAACTGCTGCATTTAACAACAAAACCAAATCATTAACATTAAACAGTTGCTCTAATTTTACAAAGATCTCAGCTCAGGCTGTTTTAATGCAACCATGCTGAGTTTTTCATCTGCCAGAGCCACACTAACACAAGTTGGTTCATGTTGTAAATCTTTATAATGGTAAGCGGAACAATTGGGGCTCAGTTCAAAGGACCAAAAACCACGACACCAAAGGCGAGGTGGCAAAGACAAAAAGGGGAGCTTTACTTCAAAAAGAAGATGTAAGGTTACAGAAACCAGGTGGGAAAAACAACTCAGGAGGAGCAGCCAGAGGCAGAACCTGATACATAGGAGGGACTCGTCAGGAATAGCAGAACACTGAAAAGTGACAACACTGAGCTCAGAGGAGAAGACGGGTGACCTACTGCGGGTTTAAATACTAAAGGACTGATTAGTGAAGTGGCTTCAGATGAACAGAAGAGAGAGTAAAAAGGAAAAGATCAAGTTCAGACCCTCTCAGACATCGCAGCTGAGGCAGTGAGTTCATTAGGTTTTCAGATAGTTTAAAACAGAGGAACTAATGAGACACACCGTTGTGGGTGCCCACGTTGCCTGGAAACAATGCATCATCACTGCAGCAAAAAATGACTTCCTTTTCTCTCACATTACAGAAGATATATATCATGTTCTGTCATCAGTAAAAAACAAAAACAAAACAAAAAAACATAAGCATAGATTAAATGCTTTGAGGATTTTGCTATAAATTTGATGAAATTGCAGTAAATAACCTAAGTACGTTGAATTCTTCCATCAGGATTTGAATAATTTTTTCCTTGAATTTAGAACAAGTCCGAAAACTCAGAATATATAACAAGGCTAAAAGAATTACAAATAAGGGCTTTGATATGTCTGTATCAGAGCCTGAATCCATCGGTGTCAATTGCACCTCCCCGAGTCTTCATTTGTCTCCTTATGTTTAAGGTCTCATTAGGTTTAAGCAATTTACTGACTACCTAATTAGCGTGCCGGGGTAATTAGGATCTTTAAAGGAAAAGCAGCTTGGTCCAAGTATCCTTGTGTCAAAGTCACTTACACTTGCACAAAACTGTAGCAAGGTTTGAGGTATACATGTGACTGCTCTATCTGTTTGGATAGGATTATGTAAAAACTAAACTTGTATTTGATGTTATTTAGCAGAGAAAGCCTCATTATTAAGTTGTTTAAATTCTTGGAGGAGGGTGCAGGACTTCAACAGAAGGAAAATGAGGTTCAGGCAAAATGGTTTGAAATGTTAATAACCGACTTGCAGTAGATAACTTTTTTTAATGTCTTCATTTTGTATAAATACAGATAAGTTCTTCCTGGAGGCTAAAGTTAATGACTATGCTGAAGGACACAAAGACCCAAGTAGATTTTTTTCTATTTAAAACAAATCAAAACTGTTAAAACTATAGTCAAACTATCATTAAATTATTATTTACAAAGACCATCCTTCACAATGTTATTGTGGTGATGGGAAAAATTAGCAAAATGCAAGAAAAACTTCATTGGAAAAATAGATGCATTTAAAAAAAAATGTGTAGGAACTTTGGTTTCCATAAACAAAAATGTTTCATTCTCTGACATGAAACAGATGTCCTTTTTATCTACTCCTTAAAATCGAGAACACCTCATTTAAACGTGACATGTGAGAAAACATCAATAAGAAAATAGCTGTCAGAGCAATAACTAAATAGTTTAAAATAACTGAAACTGAAACCAGGCTGGATTTGGTACCACCTCGCTCCAAGGAAGGGAGAAGGAAAAAACTTAGCAAAAAGGGACTCCTTAGCAATAATTTGGTACTATTTACAATAAAGCTAGTTGCTAGAAAGACTTTTCAGAAAAAAGCCTACCATTACAAATGAAAATATATGGGGTCTTGTAAAACCTTCCAACACTTTATGTGGAATTGCTATGGTGAGGCTAAAACAGTTTCTTTGGTGAAAAGAAAACCTTCCTGGGGGATATGCTGTGAAACTAAGGATGACTGGAAATGGAAACCATAGTGGAGGATCTGTAGCCATGTGGGAACATTTCTCTTCCAAAGGCCCATGGACATTTGAAAGGCTTATGAAATAGAGTTTTATTCAACCAGTGCGACATTTTTTATACTGGAACTGTTCAAAATTGTAAAAATGTGCTTGAACTAGCCTCTCACCTCAGGCTATATGGATTCATGCTAATTTAATCCAAGTTAGCCAAGATAAACATTTACTGCAGGCAAAGTTTTGCTGCTAATAACCTCTAAACAAAACTTAAAAAAAACAACAACAAAAAAACAATACAGAACAGGAGCGCAGTATAAAGATGCAAAAATATAAACACTCTTGAAATTTAAGCAAGTGC